CGATTCGTATGAAAATGTGGAAAAATGGCTAGATAACTGGTTCGCTTCAAAAGATGAAAAGTTTTTTTGGCACGGCATTCATATACTGCCAGAGAGGTGGGAAAAATGTGTTCAAAACAGTGGAAATTATTTTGAATAAAGTATTATTTATCACTTTCGAACAACAGACGTCTTATTTGTATAAAAAAATTCCGGTTTCATACTTCTACACCTGGTATTTATATTGTTTCTCTCCGGAGGATGGAATATATTTATGTCAAAATTTTTATTTATCGAATCTTTGATATTATACCATGCTAGATGTACACGTTCAAGGAGGGTCAATATTAACCGAAACGCGTATTGTAATTTATACAATGTAAATAAATTTTCTCATCTTGAGAACTATCATCACTAATTAAATATGAATTATACTGCACTATACACCCGTGCATGAACTCTTATATATCTCCTCTTTTTGTAGTTTGATTATTATCGTGAGAGTTTTTTCCTGATCATTCTATTGATAAGTACATCTCAAAACTTGATGACCAAATTTCGCGAAACTGAGAGTTAAAGATTGCCCACGTAGCGGCAAAACTAAAGTCGATGAGAATACAGTTATTGAAATTATTGGTCGTATTACAGAAAACTCCCAATAGTCCTTAGCCGATTTATATAACATCCCGCTTTCTTCCGTACAATCGGTAGAATTTTTAGAAATAATGGATTTTATCCTTACACAAATGCAAATAAAACATGAGTTTGAAGATAGCGACTTTGATTGCCGTATTCAGTTTTATAACATAATAAACCGGGCTCATTGCAGAGGAAGAACATTACTTAGACAATCTTTGCTTTAGTGACGAATGTATTTTTTATTTAAGTGGTGAAGTAAACAACCATAATATGTTAGGTCTGATATAAATCCACATATTTTTAGAGAAGGATATACGCAGCGGTCTCAGTTAAATGTTTGGGCCGGCGTTTTAGATAACTACATAGTTGGTCTCCTTTTCATCGATGAAAATTTAACAGGTATATTTTATTTAATATTGGTGCGAGATATCATTGATCTTTTGATAACCCAACTTTTTGAAAATGCTGTTGGTGAGGATGGCCAATTAGAATTCGATGTGAATAATATTCATTTTCAACATGATAGATGGATATCGTGCACATTACTATCGTGACGTGTGCAATTATTTGCACGAAAATTATCCAAATAAATAGATTGCGAGGGTGAGCCCGACTGAATGGCCTTCACGGTGTCCCGATTAACCCACAATGATTTCTTCTTATGGGATTATTTAAAATCGGTGGTTTTCAAAACGCCTCCAAATATAATCGAGAAATTCCCAAATAGGATAGTTGTATCTTATAGATACATATATTCCACCTCAGACGTTTCAGAATATAAGGAGAGCATTTCACGATCGCTTGTTTTACTGTATGGAAGTCAATGGTGTTCATTTTGAGCATCTTCTGTAATAACAGCAACACAATTTTAATGTAAGAGAAAGTAATGTATGAGAAAGGAGAAGGAGAATGGTGAATAGAGAAAGAGAGAAACAGAGAATTTTGACCGAAAACATGTACACACATATATATACACAACGGAGAGGGTTTGGAGTTATGAAATACTACAGGAATGACGAACCGTTCTTATTTCTGTTGTGTGTATGTGTGCATGGTATGAGAGTGTAAGTCATCCACTTATACATCCACACACGCATGCACGCACGCACGCACGCACGCACAGAACAGAGAGTGTTTAAAGTTATGAAATACTACGGGAGTGACAAACTGTAGCTCTTTACTTCTGTGGTGTGTGTAACTCATCTACTCTTCCACCCACATATACACAAGATCTGTCCTTTTTAGGGTCAAGACATGATGTACATATCCGACCAAGCAACCTCCTCGCGGTGTATATTGAATAAAGCGAATGCGATGTATCAATTTTGAAGCTTCGTATCTTGTAAACGGCTTGCGCTACAAATAAAAAGTATTTTGAAAACGTCTTGACATGAGATACAAGAATATGAAATAAAAAATAGAGGGTCTCGTTTTAGAAAACATCGGTCACATTAAATGGTCTTGGAAAGGTCACTCAAGATCAAGTTCATATTTTCAACATCTGTAACCCTTTATGTCCTACAACTTTTGTCTGAAACGTTTTTCCATATCTAAAGCCGTTTCCGAGATCCAGGGGTTGGGTTAGATTTTAGAGAAACCCTGTATTTTAAAGTATATATTATATGCAAAAATAATATATTTATAGGAATTGTTAATATTTATCTATTTTATAATATCTAAAAGCTTTTGCTCACAGCAGTCTTGTCTGTTACTCTTGTCGAAATAACATGCATATATCTTTTGCACGAATTTTTTTTTTATTAAACTTTTCATAAAGTAGTGAGAGTTGTTGTATATTAAAATCATTGAAATCGGTAAGGTCGCCTCTAATATAAACATTTACCTTATTTTTTAATGCACACAATATCACAAAACTACACAGTATTTATAAAATTTCTTTTGTTCATAACCTTTTGATAACCAATCAGCGATGGTTAAAATATTCCAAAGATTACCCTCAGCAACATATGTCAAGGTGATTGAAGCTGACTCCCCTAAACTAAATAATTACCAAGAAATGATGTATTCAAGAAAGAAACATCTTTTTATGTGAGTTATTTCTTTAATGTATAAAAAGTTGTTTATATAAGGTGGAATTCGGAAATTAAAACTATGTTAGTTTAAGAACTTATAAATAGCTTCTTTTATTCTACTACTATCGGTGATACCATTCTGATAGTTTTAAAGTGTTACGTCCTGAAAAAGAACTTAACCTATTGAATGATAATAATAAACCTCGTCGTACAGTTAATATACGTAAGGTTGATGAGTTAATGTACGTAAGGTTGATGAGTTGATCAGCGTCTAGAAAAATCGCTTTACTCGGCGCAGCAACGTATGGTGCGCGGTTCGATTTCGAGTCAGAGAACCGAAACTCTATACTCGGGATTAGGATGTATATCAGTTGGACACGGGGCAATTGGACACAGTCCAATCACAAGTCGCTGTTCCAAGGGACCCTACAAATGTCTCTAATCACACGGTGCTGTGATTGGCTGTGTCCAAATGCACCGTGTCCAAGTGCACCGCTCCCTCGGGATTAAACCTCGAGCGATAAAGGAAAGGGGGATTTAGATTAGAAATAACTCGATTATAAGGTGAAAATATTAGTCTTAGGTACGCGATATAATAAATATATTTTTATTTTAATCGCATCGTGGCATCGTTACAAAATGTAGTAATTTAGGCTTAATGCAAAATGCATACAGGTTTATAGTGCTAATATAAAAATACGCTCCACGATGTGTAGATATACATGTGCGTATATGTATGTTTGTGTGTGTGTGTGTGTGTGTGTGTGTGTGTGTGTGTGTGTGTGTGTGTGTGTAAGGTTAAATTTCTATAAATATGGAGAAGTAGGGGATGAAGGCGAGGTAAGCCTAAAACAAGGCTTGTTTGCCAATTTCGACCGATTCTCGGGAGTTACGCCTTCTATCTTCCCTTTGCCGCGAGCGGGCTACAAAAATGACAGTCGAGCCTTCAAGCTTGAAACCGCGACTGGCCGCGATTGGCCGCGACTGGCCGCAATCGTCATTTTTTGTGGCCCGCCGAGAGGCAAGTGAGAGACAGAAGGCGTAGCTCCCAAGAATTGGCCGAAATTGGCAAACCGTTCCGAGCCCTGGCCTAAAAGGTGGATCTAGATCCAGCAGAAGGTAAGCTGGAAAGGAGGGCAGGTTATCAGTACTTAGGTACTTAGATATCGGCTCAAGGAGTTATGGATGACTTCAATACAAAAATCTCGGTACCGAAAATCTGGCGTTCTATAAATGACTTCTAGTTGAGTTAAAACTATGTCAAGGGGAACATAGTGGAATAGTACTAGGTGATCCATTGGAATTATTGAGATTTAATATGAATAACTAGAATCGGGCCTCATCGAATCGTCGCAACAAATCAAAATCACCAGAAACGCCACAGTATGAATAGCAAAAGAAAAAAAAGTAAAGGTACGACTTACTTTCGAAGTACCAAGCAAATATTTGATACAGGAGAGGTCACAGGTATCTTAACCTCTGAGCGTATCCTCGCTGATTTTTGGCTCTATCAGTGTCTTCTTGGTTCACGGTCAGATGTTTATCAGAATCTTTTTTTAATTGCGCCACGGAAGACGATTGTTGCAAGAATTAAAGGTGAAGTGGCAGCGTAACAGCCTTGGTACAACGCTGAACAAATGTCGAAGCAAAAAAAATACGAGTTGGGATTTTTATAGGAAGCGGCTAAATTTTGAAAATAGAAAATTTCGGGGATAGCGGTTATTGGATTCGTTGGAAATGACGTGCTTGAGGTGAAGATCATGGCTTGGATTGAAAGAAATTCTGGAGTCATGGAAAATTCGAGAATGTTCGATTGATTGCATGATAGGAGATGACATTTGATGATTCACAATCATATGCAGTATGGGTGACGTGTTTCATGACTATTTTTATATAGGTGTTTTGCAACGTGGTATGAATGAAGGTTTATGGCCTCCTTGTGTACTTAACTATTTTGAAATTCTATTGGATTAATCCATTCCGAATGAAGGTCCATATAGCTTACAAGATATAACAAAAGTTACAAAAGACGACGGATTTTTAGTTAATGTTTACTCAGCTTCCCTACTTAAAAAGTAAATGTTGCAGAGAAACAAAGTCATAGTTATTAACTGATGGATATCGATGTTTGATAAATTACTTTTAATTTTATGTTATTCGTTTTTTAGTTTCCGCATGATATGTAACTGCAGCGCAGTACATGAAAAGGAAGTGTTTTCTTACATGTATTAACAAAAAAATAATCAACTTTAGTCTCCCTATCTACCCTCAAATATTGTAACATCAATTTAATAATACCCTGCAAATTAAATTTCTGTATATTGAATTTTATATTTTTGTGTTTTATAGGATACCCAGTACATACGAGGTGGTGGAACTGTATGTTTCAGTATGCGGAAAGTCTGGGAAAGTTACCGGTATGCGGTAAATGACATAGAACCTTGTCCCAAATAATATAATACAGTTTTAATTTAGCGAGCTCGTTTCAATAACAGCTACAGAAAATTTATGAACCTATAAAGTGACAATAATTATTTTATTGGAATTATTATACCACTGTCTTGTCCGTATGTATATGTTATATGTATAATTATTTAACATAAGCACGAAAGTTGCGGATACAAGATATTTTATAATATAATTGTAATAATTAATATTATAACATATAGATATTTTATAACATAATTGTAATAATTAATATAGTCAATAAAGTAAATTTATATTCGAGTTATATTACGCAAGATGTATCTTTAAATGTGTTATTATATATTGGAGTGTTCAAAAGTTAGAAAAATTTTTTTAAGACACAAGGAAATCGGACATCCAAAAATTTCTAAATTTATAAAGGAGAATATTTATAAAGAAGAGGTCGTGGGTAATGCGGAGAGAATTGACAAGAAAACAAGTGTGCGCCTCCGATTTTCATAAACTTGTAATATGTTGTACTGTAGATCAAAATAACAGATTATTTTTTATTATATGTGCCCTTTCGCAAATTTAGGAGGTGAAATACCCCTTTGAAGAAAATAGGTTTTTTTTTCATTTGAAGGGAATATAATGAAAACTATTAGAGATAGAAAAAAATATTTTAAATAAAAGTTGAATGGTTTAAAGAATACCTTATAGATATTATAGTTTAAAGAAGACCTTATAGATATCATTATAAAAAAAATTTTTTTGTTAATACCCCATTACTTCTTCTTGTTATAATTATTAAAATAATTTCTGTAAAGTACATTCAACTCAATTCCAAATATTCAAAATATTTTTTTCTATCTCTTATAGTTTTCATTATATTCTTTTCGAAAAAAAACTAATTTTCTTCAAAAAGATATTTTACCCCCTTAAACTTGCGAAAGAGCACATATAATAAAAAACGTATTTGTTATTTTGATCTAAAGTACAACATATTGTTACGTTCCAGCCGACTGCGCGAATAGAATGTAGTGCTCGAGTTGTACTATCACAACTGGCTCGCTTTTTTTCGGATATAAATTGAATTTACGCGATTCTTCCCCGGGGATCCACGCGATCCTGTATTCGCCAAAGGTTATGCCGCGGAGCAAAATTCGAGCGGATGCATGCCCGCTGTTACGTACAGATCGAATATAATGCCGCAGGCGGCAAATAAAGTTTCTGACTTACCGACCTCCGCGTCCAATTGTCCGAAATATCGCCTTTGTGATCCGCACACGAGTTCCGCGCCAGAGTTCCCCGTAGTGGTATAGTCGTGAGTCTCCTTTGTATGAAGTTGAGGGCTGCTCACCACAATTCTCAGCACGATTCGCGCGTTATTGAGATATCGAATTACGGGTCAATTTAAGTGCGTAGAAAATTTACGAAACCGTGTTTTCGCTGTGGTGGCTCGGATACAATTAGGTAGGGTAGAGAGGAAGAGGTCTTGTTCGAGGAACTAAGAAATTTAAAGTTAATTTCATGTAATATATTCTAATATAATCTAAATTATATATTCTAATAGTTAAAATACATAAAGTAATCTTAATCTAAATAAAATGTTCTACAATGTTCTAAAATAAAAGTTCGTGATTATTAAAATAAGAATTACGCGATCTAAGTATTCTAAGTTACGAGGTTCTTGAAAGTGGAATTAGGATTACAATTTAAGAGCTCTCCAGCCGATGCTGGAGGCTTAAAGGATGGAGAGATGTTCCGACACCTACACGACTCTCTACGACTACTACTCGACTCTGACTCGTGATTGACTCTGACTTCTGTGTTCGACAGTCTGGGCTAGACTCCCCCTCGCCGCGGCCGCCGCGGTGGCGGCGGAGGGGAGGGTGGCTCTGGGGTGGGCGGGGGCGCGGGTGGTTATACTCGCTCCCCGCCCTCTCCGGTGTCACCGATGCTGGCGGCTCGGCCGCATCCGGGCGGCCTGCTCCGCGTCAATTGACCGGAGCGGGCTGTGCTACCGGTGTGGCCGGGCCGGGCACACCGCGCGGGCCTGCACAGCTAGTGCGGCCTGCGCGGTGTGCCTCGAGGATGGCCGGGACTCGGGCCACAGGTTGGGTGGTCCCGAGTGCCCGATGGGGGGTGGTGCTCCGGCGGGCGGAAGGCCGCCGGGGCATCGCAGGGGCTGGCCGCCGAATGCGGCCGACTCCGGCCCCCCTGCGGGAGGTGTGCTGGCGGATCCTGGGAGACTATCCCGGGATCTGGCCGGCGGAGAGGGCCCCGGTCTGACCACCTAGACCGGGGCCACGGCGCCGGCCGAACATCAGGCCGGCGCCGAGGGGGGTCGGTACCGGGCGGAAACTTCCGCCCCCACCGGTCCCCCCTCTCCCATACGGGTCGCTTGGGGGGTGTGCGGGGGCACACGCTTCAATCATAGCGGCCCGGGAGGGAGGCGGCGCGGTGTTGGGTCACACCGCGCCGCTGTTCAGGAGGAGCGCGACCGGGGGTGATTTAATTATCCCCGGTCCGGGAGGGGTCCTCGGGACCGCGGAGGGGGGTCCGCGGAAGTTATACGCAAGTGGTCCCCGCGGGCCCCCTGATGACCGCTGAGGACGGACCCGCCAGGGGTTTTAGTGGGTAGGGCCTCCGTCGAGTGCTTTCGACGGGGGAGGAGCCCCACATAACCCGCGGCCTCCCCCCGGAGACCGTGGGTATGCGTAAAGCATTTCCCCTGGCTTAAAAAAAAAAAAAAAAAATGACTTCTGTGTTCCCTCCGGATTTTCTTCTAGTGAGGCGAAGGTTCTTATTTGGCGAAAGCGCCATCTATCTGTATCTTTCAAGAAGAGAAACGGCTCGGGTCTAGCCTGGTGGCCTTCTGCTAGGGCGCGTTTTACAGGAAAGATAGGGAAAAAAATTATGCGTCGGCACTGTCGAACGTGACAATATTACAACTTTATGAAAATCGGACGCGGACACTTGTGTGGGTTTCCTTGTAAGTAAAACTGCATAAATATAATCCCTCACCGAATTTTTCTTTTTGAAATATGTTACAGAGAATGAAATTTTGAGTAAGTTTTTCCTATATAATTATATGGACTTCGTATATAATTATATGGAGGTCGCATATAGTTTAGGAGATAGTTTCTCATATAATTTCGATTTTAAAGTTTTGAAAGTGTACAGGTTATTAATAGATCTATTCCTGACAATCGACGGTACTCCTCCACATTTATTGAAACATATATACCAGTAAATTGCTTTTGTACATGTAGAAACAATAAAACATAAAAGTGTGAAACATAAAAGTGTGACTTAAATATTTCACCTCACTAAAAAAATTATTATATTATAATATTGTATTACTATAGTATACAATAAATCTATCGTATACTATAATAATGGATTCCGGAAAGATTAGTGAAGGGTGTATTCGACTTTAAAATTTAAATATTAAAAAATAAAGTAAATATAACGAACACGTATATATGCGCGGGGGATGACCTCTGCTCTTCCCCCCGTACTTTCTCCACAAAAAACTAACCTTAACCTAACCTATCTATTAAAATATAGTAAACTGTATACGTATATACGTAACCCAATCCTTACATTTTTATATATAATTTGTCAATGGAAAACAATATAAGAATACAAAGGCAGGTACTACTTGAGATTTTTTAATTTACATCATATGCAAAATATATCGCAAGCAGTACCTGCATTTGTAGTTTTATATTTTCTTTTGAGAAATTATGTATTGTAACGCTGCACTCGCGACTTGCGCAGTCGGCACACGAATCGGGTGCAGCGGCAAAATTATTACTCTGTTTGGTCAGCTCTCACAGTTCGGCGGATTTCGCGAGACCCGACAGCTCAACACGAAAAACTCTAACTGGGCGCCAGGTACGGCGGTCTGTACTCACTAAAAGACTCGTCCACTAAACACGAAAAGGTTGGTCTCGCCGAAGAGTAGCACTCGTCGTCCGCCTGAACGGCTGACCCGAACGTCTGGCAGCTCAGCCCTCCCTGCGGTAGAGGGGCTGGTTCGCGCGAGATCGGAGGTGAAGGGATAGAGTGGCGGCGAGGACAATTAAGTGATCCCCAATATCTTGCGACAGCGTTTATTGTTCGTTGAAGTTTACAATGTTATTAACCGGCAGCAAAAATGATTTGATAACAAACTGAATTCTTGTTCGCAATCGCGACAGAGATATTCGGCAGCGCGAGTTAGCGTCGTGACCGGCGGAGGTCACGACAGCCGCGTAAGCGCTCGGCGGTGTGTCCGCGTCGACGGTACAACCGGCGGATGTTCGGCGGTTTCACTAACGTCGAAGTGATCCCTTGAGTTGTCCCCAACGCGCGGGAGGGACGCGAGCCTTTGCCCTCGCCCAGGAGGACGGCCGGGTCCCCGCTCGTCGACGCCTCGCCCACTCCGCGACGCGAAAACCACCAAAATAGCGTCTTCGTCCCTTTTGGAACGGACTCACCAAAACTCGAGCGGAGCGGGGGCAGTCGGTAGCTGGCCTCGGCGGTCCCTCCGGACTCACACAAAATGACCCTGGATACAATAGCGGTCTTACGAGTCGAAGGTCGAGTCGTCGGTGCTTTGTCTTCCTGGTCTCGGCTCTACGGATGGCGCGTCCTTCACACTAGTTTCCGTGCTATCGGCGAGATTGGCGACAAAAGCTCTCGAATGGTTGTTGTCGTCCCGTTTTATTTTAGGTGTTTAAACCAGCTTTCGACAGCTATTGGGCGCTCATTGGCGAGATATTTCCCCCATTTCCCGATCTCTGACTCTGGGCATCTGTTTTCTGTACGTCAGTCTTCGGAGCTTCCTCGTCCGTCCGACCTTGGCTTAAGCTCCTTTGCGGCAGCCGTTGTTTACGTAGATCCACGAGCCTCGCGGCGTCCTCGCTCGGATCGGAGGACGCTCCGGGTCGCGGAGGATGTGCTCGCCGGCTTTCTCCGGCGGCAGCTATCCTCCGCTCGTCCGCGGTCGATCCACTCCGTCCTCGCGGCTTTCTGGCGACAGCCTGTGATCGCTCCACTTCGGCAGCTTCGCCTCGACGTTCAGGATGTTGCTGAAACAGGTCTGTGTTAAGTTTCCCACCCTGTGGGTCCCTACAGAGTCGTATTATTGACGGAAGCGGTTCACCTGGAGTAGCAGGTCCTACGGCCGTTTATCTCGCAGGCTCTTTCTCTCCCACGGCGGCAGCAGTCCTCCTT